CTTTACACCACTCAGCAGACAAAACTTACAGAGTATGCACGTATGTAATTACTTATGTATACATACACATATGTATATTTACTCTAAAAAATATGAAGCAATGTCTGGCCACACGACGAACATGTGCGCGAGCATGCTCGGCTTGGGGTGCATGTTCTTCGTTTGTGGAGTGGTTTCCGAAGATTGCATTGGGAACAAAAACAACAACCGCATTTGGTGCTGATGCTTGCTGCGTGCACATCGGCAGATAAATGCATCCAAGCCATGTGCGTTAATTGAATTTTGGGTAAATGACGCCTAAATTACTATATCTATAGGTATGTACATTAGGGTGCTTTTTTACGAATATTTTTTTTTCTCCACTACTACCTCGAAGTAAAATATCTCATCTGTAGACTTTTTAAGAAAAAACTCAATGTTTACGTGTATTTTATACGGGAAATCTTTGCAAGCCTTGGGCGAGTACTTAATATTAATATTAAGGGTTCACATTTTCAGGGAGTGTTTTCCACAAAATTTCGAGGTAGGAGTGGAAAAAAACAATAGTCGCAAAAAACACTCGAATTTACATACATACAAATATAATATAAACAAATTTAAGTAGCACATACATAAAAAAAAGCGAAGTTAAAAGGATTGCAAAAGCATCATCCGTGTCTTTGCTACCCATCTTTACGCTATAACGACAAGATCACATATGAGCCGCTCATCGTGTGAGGCAAACGACAGCGAGCATGTTGGGGAGCATTTACAGCTTTTTGCGTAAACATTTCTGTGTCGACAGCGAGATAAAATTAAGAAAAAAGATATAAGTCGATGTGTGTTTGGAGTAAATATTAGTGATGTTCCTTTAAATAGACAAATTTGTCTTTCGCATACATATTTACGAACGAACATTAAAGAATGTTTATTCCCCTTTATCGAAAAAGTTGGGTACGGTTTAGTTATTTGTACAATGATTTTTTACTATGCATTTTTTTGTAAATTTCGATGTGGGTTCTGCGCAAAAATACTGTGGATGGCGTAATCGGAGTTATATGCACAAGAAATGGCTTCCGTCCCTCTTCTCCGGCAACACAGAAAGGTGAATTCTACTTAATGAGGGTTATAACCCCTAAGCGCGGCCGAAGGCGCAGCGGGCGGTGAACCAAACAAAATGCTGATTTTCAATGGCTTGGAAGAAGCTGTTATTGCGTTAACTGCATTGAGAACCAGTCCTTTAGGCATAAGAGGAGTAATGGCTTGTTGCTCAACAATTCAACCAGAAGCTGACATACATGCATAGATGCGTTCATTGCAACTATGCCCGACAGCTCTGCGTAGCTTTGTGAATTCATTTCCATAGCGCGCTCTTACTTCGCTGCTATAGTTGCAAATGCAATAGAATCCATCATTTTCTGCAAAATTGTAAAATCAAAAAATTTTACTACAAATAAGCACTTGATGAGTGTTTTTAATTCCTTTCCACTTGGTTTTCCTTCACACAGCTGACTTCGGAAAACAACTGATAGCTGGTATGTTTCAGCATGTCGATTTTTCGTTTTTCGTAACGGAACTACGAATTACGATAATTCGGGTTACAGAATAACTAAGGGTGAGACTTAAAAAATATTCTTGTGCGATAATTAAATCATATAACTACAACTTAAAATACTTGCATGTAAAATTTGGTTTAAGCATGTAAAATTTGGTTTTACACTTCCATGTAAAATTTGGTTTTTGTAACATACGATAGAGTTCTTACATTCTCAAAAGTTTTATGTAGAGATGTGAAGCAACAACAAAATTTCAACAACTATCGTAAAATAATGTAACTTCACGATAAATACAACACCTTGTGAATTGCCTAATTGTTCGGCAATTTCGGCCGAAGGCCGAAGGCGAAGCCGAACATAAAAAACCAGCCGAATAGGACGAATACCGAAGCCAGGCCGAACCTTCGGTCCGACACTAGTGTCCAGGTTCAAATCTCATTAGGCAGAGCATATAATTTTAAATTTTTATTTTCGTTTTTTTAGTTATGAAAAAGTACCTGTGAAGTGCGCCACGAAAAAATGTGGTTCTTTTACAGGCTACAGGTTACGCAGCGAGAGTCAATTGTCACCTCCTAGGACAACTCCATGTTAAATGCACCCGTAGAAAGCATGGGTGGTAGATTTGCGAGGTACCGGTATTTGACTCCCGAAAACTGGTGAATTCACAGTTCTGTACTAGTACTTTTCGTTGCAGGGATAGAATACTGTATCCATTTCACCACGTTGGTAAAGGTCAGTATGCAGCTCTCAAGAAAAGCAAAAACTCCATATAAAATGACATACAAGAAATATTTAGCTAAGAAATTTTCTTAGGTAAAATTTTCTTGAGACAGTACGCAGTTCTTGAGAAATTTTCTACGATTTCTTCTACGGTTTTCTAAAGTAGTTTGTGAAAAAAGAGCACAAGGCAACCCATGCTTGCAACAGAAATATATGCCCGTTCGATTATTTCTTGAGGAAAGTGGCAGACAACAAGCTGGTGAAGTATCAGATGTCAAAATTCCTTGCACACACACACACGAAATAAGGCCATTTTTTCTCTTGGCTAATCCCATCGTAGGAAAGTCTGACCGTTTCCTTTGAATCATACGGATTACTGACCTTAACGCTGGCATTCAGTAAGCGGTATTCAGTACGGTGTCTCACGTCTGTAGTCTCAAAAATAAGTCACTAATTTGTCAGCTTTGACCACTCGGCCATTTCGACTCTTTGAGAAGCGGGGGCAAAAGGCATACATAAACACTATCAGTTGATTGTCTGTTTTTGCTTTCACCAACCATTTTTGGTGAACTTTTTGTGACTCTCTCCTTCTGAATATCCCAATCGTCTCAAGTCACAAAAATAGTCACTAATTGCTAGTCTCAAATTTAGTGACTTGAGATGAGACTGAATTACTTCATAATTGCCTGCCTCTCTTTCAAAATATTATTTCATCATATGTAAATATGTAGGTATATAATATTCTTTAGCGCTCGCATATTATTTAATGTCATACACATAAGGGTATTCTCTAAGTCTTGCAAAGCCCCTGCAATATGCACAGATTTCACGGTTTGCAAAACTGTCCCATATGAAACCGGTTTTTACCGTGCATTCTGTGCATCATGCAGGGGCTTTGCAATACTCAGAGAACGCTTTATTTACAAGGTACACGCGTTTATGAGGCATTTAGGCGTTTGGATGAATACCCATATTATTTATATTGCCTGAGGCAAGAACATTCTTCAGTGGCTACAAATTCCGATCATTGTTACTTTCAAATGGAATGGTATTCGAACTATCATTTGGCAACAAGCTGTTTGTTCCTTTTTTTACATATCATCTGCATATATACTTATACATATAAGTACATATGTATGTATGTGGACACAATGTATAATCCTGCATACTTAACTATGTATATACATATGTATGTATGTTTGTATTTCTTCTATTAATATTACCCTGTAGGATGATCACACAAAACTTTCAGTTATATAAATTTTGTTTTCTCTACTCTGCTTTTTCATTGCAGGTGCCAGATTGAATGAATCGCATGAATGCTTAGATTACAACACAATTAAAATGTAATTGTTTGGAATAGAAAAGGAGAAAAGTGTATAGCATACACATAAGAAATATACATAAATAACATAGTGAAGGCATATGTATGTATACATACATAGTAAATACATACATAAATATGTATATTATTAAAAGCTAAGCTAGCGGGATACTAGCAAAAGTAATTTGACAACAAGGAAATCATCTACGAAGCACAAACCCACATACATACATATATGTACGTACATATATGTGTATTTACATATACACATAATACTACACATGTCGCTAATACGAATTCATTTAGAAAAATTATGCCGTTCCTGCGGTTGCGAGGAGCAGTACTCATTTTAAGCCGTACACATCATCAACTAAGTGAAGCATTCGCGATGCTAAAATAAAATAAATTTTCTGTGGCCCACTCACAAATAAACAACTTAAATTAAATATGTGTAATTAGTATCCTGTTTATAAAATTATTGGTAGTGAATAGTGACTTCAGTAGTTATACTCTACATAACTATTATAAAATGAACGTACGTCAACATATTCACATCAGTGTTTTACAACGATTTGCGTTAACAACATTAATTGGCAAGCTGATTATGTACAACTTAAAATAGCAAAGCTGATTGCACATAAAAAAGAAAGCTGCTCAGTGAAACAATCACGATCCATTTCATTCATACATAGATAGTACATATGTAGATTAACAACAAATACATGCAGCATGGGTGCGAATTCATCGAGCAGATCGGACGCACATCTGCTGAACGATGACGATGGTAAGTGTATTGAATGGAATATTTACGTATATGTACTCGACGGACTACTCGTATTACTTAAGAATTATTTTTAATCGACTTCAAAATAAGGATGAAGTTATCAATTCGTCGGAATATTTGTGTATGTATTTTTCCAATAGATTCGATTTAATTACATATTTATTTTTTTATTAATTAATAATCTAGAAAATAAACATTTCATGCATTTAGCAGTGTAAGATGGGAAAGGGTCAACAAAATGTAGTGATCTTAGAGCATAACGAATTAAGAATTTTTTGAATTCGTTCAATTCTGTTAATATGACAGTCATAATATGGTCGCCAGATGAAGACAGCGTACTCGAGCTTGAAAAAAAGGATCAGTTGCCGAACAGGAAAAGTATCACAAAACTGTTATTTGTAAACTTTTATTTCAAAAACAAATAAATACAATTTTATAATTAGGAAGTATTTACGCGTTCCCATGAATACCCATTACATTATTCATAATTTTCAAAAATTCATCTCTGCCAGCGAAAAGTATCAAAATGGGACATTTGTGAACAAAAAAGTATCAAAGTATCAAATCTTACAATTTAGAAAAAAATAATATCAAAAAATGATGCAATTGTATCAAAACGGCAACGGTGCTGACTGCTTGTTATGGCATTGCCGGCACACTTCAAATTAAATGTTTAACGTTTTTATTAACGTTTCAACATTAACGGCACCTTTTCGTTTCGGTTAAAAACGTAACGAAATTTGTTTTGACAAATGATTTAACAAATATATTTCGAAATGTTTCAACCGAAACGATTGAAATTATTTGATTAACGTTAAACTTAACGTTACGATGCATCCTTGATCGAAATATAAGCCCCAAATTTTATCTTTCAAAAAGAATCGAGTAATATTTTGCAAAGATATAACAATAAAAGTCGATGATACTATACTTTTTCCAATGAAAAATTTTTAATTTTTGGTTCCCAATTTTTTAAATGTCCTTGTGTGCGAGAGACGGTTTTTAGGTGTGCACAAAATTAGGGTTTATTTCCGAAGCTATGTATATGGCACAGGCTTTAACAAACTGAAAAAAAGCCAAAAAGTCATAATCAGGGAACGGATTTTATGGAAATTGCGAAAATCGAATGAAAATGCTGCCAGAAAACTTCAAAATGCATCTTGTGGTTCAATGTTACTACAACTATATAGATTAAAGTTTTATGAGTTAGAAACTCGAAAGGATAAAATAGTCAAAGATTCAAAGTACAAATTTTTCATATAATGAAACTAGTTCATAGCTTTTCTCTTTTTTACGTGTAATATAAACATTTCTAAAATAAATGTATTTTTTGATGGTTCTTCGTATTTTCTGTCTATTTTTAGTGCCTTATTTTGCTTTTTTTTGCAATACCTAGTGCCTTTTCCAGCCTATTTCGTTATTTTATTTTTCCTTTTTTATACGTTTTTAGGTCCTAAAAATCCGTTCCCTGGTTATGACATAAATAATTTTTCACCTCTTAAAAATTACACAAAAAATTCACTTGTTTTTAATATTTTTTTCAATGAAAATATATCTATATCTCAAAAGTTATGCAACAAATTGATTCAAAATTTTGTTGAGGCTTCAAGTATACATACTATGTACGTCTATGAATTATATCCAAAAGCAACCAGCTTGATATAGTTTACAACAATGAAAATAAAGCTAAATAACACAAAGGTTACCTGTTTTTTAGATTTGCCCATATACATTTTTATGTTCATAAGACGTAATGAGTACCATAGCATACTGTACAGATTTTTGAAAAAAAAAGTTTTTATGTTGCCTAAAATTCATAGCTAAAAAATTGTTGCTCATCGCAAGTGACCTAACGAATGTTATCAAAATCGTTGGATATATTAGTCGTGTTTTTTGTACAAGCATATATGTACATCTACGCTTAACGTGTGAAAAAACAAGCATCGACAATTTCCATTTGAAAACAAGTAATTTTGATTTTATTGACAACTATTCATAAGCGCACATAAAGTTTGTCGCATACTGCTCCATACAAATTTTAAGCACAGACGCGTATACGTGTAAAAAACACGCCTATTTTCTTAGAATTCTTAGCGTTTTTGTAGATATACATATGTACGTATGTACATGCAGCTTACAGTGAAAAGTTGTTAAGTCCCATTTTAAAAATTTTACAGGAAAGGAAAAAAATTATTGCAATTTTCTTAAAATATTTCGGAAAACTTTTAGTACATCATTTTGGTTGTTTAAAGCAAAGCAAAGCTCCATACGTATCAGAGGGATTCGATCTCCATAAAAGATTTCGTACTATTTTGGCCTTATCGGATTTTCGGGCTTCTTTTGGACTTGGCAAATTTTCCTTTCATTCAATATAAACGAGAATAAATAAAACAAGATCCTTTATGATTTTCGAAACATCTAGACTCCTTTGTCAAAATATGAGTTTTCATAAAAAGTGGACTTAGCAACTTTTCACTCTTAGCTAGCGATATACATATGGTGCTTTGGTTCTTATGTCCTCATATGCAAATAGGTGAAGGTTATAAGTCGTCTAACGTTGTCAAATATTTTATACACCAAATTTCATTTTTATTCTCATTTTTTATCTCCCTTTTTAATGAACTGCAACAAATTTTTATGCTTATAACTGATGGCCATAGTCAATTTTGATCATTTTCAAATATTACGTGCTATTGGCAAGGGCAGCTTTGGCAAGGTAAGTGTTGAGATTACATTTAATATATTTACTCATGCAAAAAGTTATCGAAACGTATCGCTAGAGTAATCAGTGTTGTGAAAATGGAAAAATCCCAAAGGATGTTCATTGTTATATTGAATGTTCAAATAATGCAATGTATTTGGCGAAAAAATTCCAAATTTTGCGCGTAAAATTATAAATAGATGTTGAGGACTTATATAAACTCGATAGCATCCTCGAATTTCATTCTTTCATCTTTATCAGCTTAAAAAATTACCTATTGGTCCTTGTGAATCCAAAAACTTTTAATTTTTTTTAATTCTAAAGATTTTTCATCTTGCACTTGGTATTCATATTTTTATTCTAAATTGCAATGAATTTTTTAAATAATTTTTGGAATCAATCATGTTTTAGAAATTACAAAGTTCTTTAAAATAAATCCTAACATCAGAGAGAAAAAATAAAAAATGCCTCTTTAAATAAAAAAGTAGGTTTCATACCCATTTAATTATTATTTATTTTATGGTAGGAGAGCTTCTCAAACAATATAGAAGTAATTTTTTCGATTTAAGTTGTTGAAGCCGCGCGCCTATTACATCTTTAAAAATTTGGTTTTTCGCCTTTGACCTGGGGACTCCCACTGATGGGCGTGAACCAGGATACAGGATGTCGAGGCATGCATGCAACTACAAATCTTACATTAAATTTGTGCGCCGTCTGATGGTGGCTGTAATCGCTGTCGTACGCTGNTTGTTGAAGCCGCGCGCCTATTACATCTTTAAAAATTTGGTTTTTCGCCTATGACCTGGGGACTCCCACTGATGGGCGTGAACCAGGGTACAGGATGTCGAGGCATGCACGCAACTACAAATCTTACATTAAATTTGTGCGCCGTCTGATGGTGGCTGTAATCGCTGTCGTACGCTGCATTTTTTTTTTTTGCAATCATGCCCCGTCNCCGCGCGCCTATTACATCTTTAAAAATTTGGTTTTTCGCCTATGACCTGGGGACTCCCACTGATGGGCGTGAACCAGGATACAGGATGTCGAGGCATGCATGCAACTACAAATCTTACATTAAATTTGTGCGCCGTCTGATGGTGGCTGTAATCGCTGTCGTACGCTGCATCGCATTTCTTGTACTGCGGTGATATCAGCCTGGTATTTCTCTAACGAACAAGCAACTGCGTAGAGACACTTTTCCCATGGAGGGTCCGGACATCTCAGGTGCATATCTGCAAAGCGTTTGGGGCAATTAACCGAGGCTGTTTTGGATTTTCCATTGGATCGGTTTTTACCTTAGGGGTCCCAAACTCAGGGCACAATCCAGGAGTAGAAACCTTTTGGTACTAGCATAAAAATGGTTGAATCAAAAATGAAAAAAATAATTATACGTATGTGTGTATATATGCCTTTGATTTTTTTGGTTTATAACAAAACGCACGGCAGTACACGAGAGTGACGAAAGCAGCATACATATGTATACATACATGNACCGAGGCTGTTTTGGATTTTCCATTGGATCGGTTTTTACCTTAGGGGTCACAAACTCAGTGCACAATCCAGGAGTAGAAACCTTTTGGTACTAGCATAAAAATGGTTGAATCAAAAATGAAAAAAATAATTATACGTATGTGTGTATATTTGCCTTTGATTTTTTTGGTTTATAACAAAACGCACGGCAGAACACGAGAGTCACGAAAGCAGCATACACATGTATACATACATGTACANATGAAAAAAATAATTATACGTATGTGTGTATATATGCCTTTGATTTTTTTGGTTTATAACAAAACGCACGGCAGTACACGAGAGTGACGAAAGCAGCATACATATGTATACATACATGTACATACACTGGGAAAAAAATTAGTAAAATCAAACAAAAACGTCTTTGATTTTACTAAAAACGTCAATGAAAGTACTGAATTTTTGGTTTCACCAATCCATTTTAATTTGTTTTTAATTTTGATTTAAGTGACCTATGCTCTTCACTTAAAAAAAAATTCAATCAGAATAATCACACTAACAGCCAGTTTCTCCAGGTTCATTTAAGTGAAAATTACTTTGATTTTCGAATTTTTGGTTTCACCAATCCATTTTAATTTGTTTTTAATTTTGATTTAAGTGACCTATGCTCTTCACTTAAAAAAAAATTAAATCAGAATAATCACACTAACAGCCAGTTTCACCAGGTTCATTTAAGTGAAAATTACTTTGATTTTCGAATTTTTGGTTTCACCAATCCATTTTAATTTGTTTTTAATTTTGATTTAGCATAGGGTACCTCTTCACTTAAAAAAAAAAAAAATAAATCGGAATAACCACACCCGGAGGTGTTACACGTTTAATCACCTGATCATTGTGTATCTGCTGCTTACTTGTATACCAGCCCTGCTTTTACAACACAGCGTGCCAAAGCTTTCAAAAGCAGNCTTTGATTTTCGAATTTTTGGTTTCACCAATCCATTTTAATTTGTTTTTAATTTTGATTTAGCATAGGGTACCTCTTCACTTAAAAAAAAAAAAAATAAATCAGAATAACCACACCCGGAGGTGTTACACGTTTAATCACCTGATCATTGTGTATCTGCTGCTTACTTGTATACCAACACAGTGTGCCAAAGCTTTCAAAAGCTCTCGGTACAAGTGAAAGCTTTCGCTAGCCTAGTCTGTTTTACAACCACTTTTTACTCACTTAAATAAATGGCTTATTGAAACTGAAAATAATTTAAATGAGAATTAAATAAATAATTAAATTAAAGTTAATTTCCACTTAAATGAGTTTGATGAAACTGGCTGTCAGAAGTGTTACACGTTTAATCACCTGATCATTGTGTATCTGCTGTTTACTTGTATACCAGCCCTGCTTTTACAACACAGCGTGCCAAAGCTTTCAAAAGCTCTCAGTACAAATGAAAGCTTTCGCTGGCCTAGTCTGTTTTACAACCACTTTTTACTCACTTAAATAAATAGCTTATTGAAACTGAAAATAATTTAAATGAGAACTAAATAAAAAATTGAATTTAATTTAATTTCCACTTAAATGAGTTTGGTGAAACTGGGTGTTACTGTTGTCATAAGGTTACGTTTTATTTTTTGTCCCCAAAACCATTCGAGATCCCAAGATAAAACTTAAACCGTATAGTTTTTCAATACAAGTTTTAGTAATACATATGTACATAACTCAACTCCAATGCCACTGGCGGCTTAAAAAAACGAATTAAAGAAAATNACTTTTTACTCACTTAAATAAATAGCTTATTGAAACTGAAAATAATTTAAATGAGAACTAAATAAAAAATTGAATTTAATTTAATTTCCACTTAAATGAGTTTGGTGAAACTGGGTGTTACTGTTGTCATAAGGTTACGTTTTATTTTTTGTCCCCAAAACCATTCGAGATCCCAAGATAAAACTTAAACCGTAATAGTTTTTCAATACAAGTTTTAGTAATACATACATAACTCAACTCCAATGCCACTGGCGGCCTAAAAAAAACGAATTAAAGAAAATAATAATAAGCAAAAAATTGTAGGCACTTTCTCTTCTTTAAGAAAAA